GTTAGGTATATGGTGGTGATGGTTCGAAGGTAATTCCAGATGCTCATAGGATACCGCGGAAAAGTCGATTTGAGTACTCGCCACGTCCATTGTCGCAACGAAATCGTGTTACAGGAAACTGTGGAAACCGTTTCTCCAGTTGTGAAAGGAATTCCTGGAAACAACTTGTGACTTCTATAGCTTCCTTAGTGCGTAGAAAAAATACTGAGGTAAACCGAGTATGATCATCGATGTACAGTATGAAGTAACGGGCACCAGAACAGGAAGGCATTGCCAGGGGCCCTGCCATATCAGAATGGATAAGCTCAAAGGGTCGCACAGTTCGTAAGACAGGTTGCCGAATGATTTTTCGTTGTTGCTTCGCCTGAATGCACACCACACAAGAGACTAGTTCCTCTCTATCGGTTTCGTTAACATCAGTAAGGGTATTCCCAAGGACTAGCCTTAGTGATTGGAGGTTGAGGTGTGCAAAACGGCGATGCCATAAGTCCCAAGATACTTTTGTGATTGAAGTTCCTGAGTGTGCCAACTGTGCATAGAGGTGATCAACCGAAAGTGGTGAACCGGAAAGTTTCCAGAGTCCATTCTGAAGTGTTGCCAGCTGACTTGGTGGCATACTAGCTTTTTGGATGTGACAAATAGAGGAGGTAAAGGTGACAATATACTTGCGGCAAAGCCATCCGACAGAGAGTAGAGAGTATCGAAGCTTGGGAACGTAGAGGGCATCAATCTCAACTATGGCACCACTATGGAGCTTGATGTTAATCTTTCCACAAGCAATACCATGGAGCTCAGTTCCATCTCCTAGATAGACCGAAATAGGAGCTGAAAGTGATGTTAGGCTTTGAAACGATCTCCAATCGGGTGTTAAATTATCTGATGCTCTACTATCAATGATCCAGCCCTTTGATTGGTTTGTAGAACCAGTTGTATTCGCAGTCAAGGCATGCTCAGAGACATAGGATGCCATAAGAGCTTGCTCAGGATCATCATTGTTGTTTGTGTTGACATTTCTGGACTGGAAGCGGGAAGGATTTCTGGTGTCAAAGTGATTTCGGGAATGTTGACCATTTCTTCTTCTCTTAGCTCTTTGCCTCGTAAAGCAAGAAGCCTCGGTATGTCCTCTCCTGACACAGTAGTTGCAGATTGGGCCATCACTGCTGCTATTCATCCTTCTTCCATTGCTGGTACTAAATCTTCTTCTTCCATTATTACCACTACTCATCCGTCTTGTAGTACTTCTGAAGTTTCGATGAGAGTTCTGATTTCCTCGGAATGAAGGACGGTAACTTTCACTTCCACTTCCACGAGAAGACGGCATTGGACGAATATTGGCAGTAAGAGCAGTCGTTGTAGCTGAGGCAGTGTTTGATCCAGTAACATCGTCTTTTCGCTCCAGAACTGCCTGCTCCTTTTGCAGAATCGCTTCGATGAAATGATTGATGTCAAGATTTTCCTGTGAAAGGATACGGTCGAGTGTTGGAAGATATTCCTCAGGTAGACGAGAATTTAGAAGCGAGATAAAGGAGTTGGTGGAGATTTCCATGTCAGTACCAAGTAGGCGGGACTAGATAGACTTCATGGCAGAGATGAGGGTACCAATACGAACACCTGGTTCAAGACGAAGTGCGAAGAATTGTCGTTGTAGGGTGGATCGTCCGATACGAGAGGCAGCCACATCGTACTTATTTTTCAGAGAGGTCCACATGGCAATGGGACAATCCAGACCGCGGATATGCTTCTTGGCTTGTTGGGTACAGGAGGTAAAGATCATTCCGAAGGCTCGATTAAGTTTGTTTCGGTATTCGGTATAGGCCGCTTGGTCTTCTGAAGTTGGTGGATTTTGTAAACCGAAAATGACATCATAAGTTTGATCCGCTCTCATGAAGGCCTTCAGGTCCTCACTCCAATGGTGGTAATTTTTCTCATTTAGCTTTTCTGTTGTACCGAATTTGCAGTTGAAGGTTTCGCTTGGTGAAGTGCCAGAGACGAGTTCGGAGAGTTTATTGGAGGTAGACATTGTGACAATAGTTTTGGCCGAAGATTTTTAACGGATGGGCAGTATTCGCAAAGAGGCTTATTGTTGCGCAAAACCCGGGCTCATAACCTGTTGGAAATTGCAGTTGAATTGATGAGGGTTTTACGGAACCAAAGGGAGTAAATGCCCAAAGAGAGAAAAGTATTTTTCTTGTATACAGAGAGTGGAGTCAAGAGAAAGAAAAGAAGGTGGTAGGTTTGTTGACTGCGCAGAGTGGAAGAAAACAGCAAGCAAGCAGCAGGAGGAATTAGGTGTGTTTATTGGTCAGGTAAGAGAAGAAGGAGAACAGGAGAAAACAAACTTCAGGGAGCAATGCACAACAAGGACATGAAAGATGTGTAAGCACTTACGTGTACACATGAATGCTTATGGCTCACATATGAAATTATTGTCATGTTTTCAACATCAAGTGCCTGGAGGAGGACTCCTTGGATCTGTAGTCTACTGCTCTCCCCGCTTCCTTTCGGTTGTACCCTTTTTTTCTCACTTTCCACACCAGGGTGTCATTCTAGCTCGCTGCTCTGTTTTATCCCTTCATTTGTCCCTTTCTCCCTCCTCATTATTCTCAAGGTTTCTTCCCTGAATCTTCTTGTCAAGTAGAGATCTGGGAATACCGGGCAAGCCAATATCGATAAATAGCTGTCCTATTCATGGTACTGCGCTGTCCCATCGTTAGCTGTCTCGCGCTTCTCCGAATTAGTCAACCAAGTCTTTACCGAAATATCTATGGAATTATAGAGCACTATAACATCAATATGTTTGATGCGGTGCAACACCATGCAGTACTCAACGCCGGGGAAGAGGCGAGGTGATAAATAAATGACTCACGTATGGTATAATTGGTCCCTCCGCAGCCCCGAATTTCTCCGGAATATACAGTAACTTGGGCGTATGATAACTCAGGTTCCAGAGGCCTTGAAGAACGTCGTGTACCGTACAGCGTCTCAGCAGATGCCGTCGGTGAGAGGAGAGTGTAAAAATATTTTTATCGATTTCAACGGAGATGCGAGTGGGAGGGTACGCAGAAGGAGTCCTCTTCTTTTTTAAAAAACAAACAAACAAACAAATAATTGCACTCGGCATTACGAATAAGGGTATAGTGAATCCAGCTTTGCCCCTCCTCGTAACGGCTCCTCCCCACAATCCTCCTCCCCACATGCTACCGAATCCTCATCTTTTTTTTTTAAGACTTTTGTCTAACTATCCATCCTAGAGTCTCCACAGGCTGGCCATCAAAAACCCGTCTGTGATGATGAAACACGACTAATTTGCACCCTGCGTGACATGAACTCCTATAATAACCACCGCGATTACCCCGCATCGAATCTTACAGCGCAAGCTGCCGTCTTCTCGTGTTGCACCACACAGCTCTGGTTTTCGCGGTACGTATACAAGTAGTATTATATCTAGTTGATAGAAACGAGGTAACACTATTAGTACACCACACGAACACTAATCGATCATTCAATGTTGGAATCCGGGTTGGTCCCATTACGGCCCCATGACCCCGATTATCCATAAAGAAGAATCATAGGATTTCTTAACAATTTTTCCCAGATAGTTGATTAGTTAGTCAAGCATTACCATAGCTAGTTATAAAATCGTGAGGTCACTGTTTCCTTCAATATTCCCATCACCACAACCCAGCAGTTCCCGTTGTCATCCCGCTTCACACCATCACAGGTAATAGATGCGCCAAATCGTTGGTTTCACGCGGTCCCGCCCGGATATGCGGGTATATGCATGTCCGTTTCATCTAAATTAGACTACTTCCCCATAAATCCATAATGCGGTCTTGTCCATCGTGGCCCGTTGCGACTGGACTTTTTGTTACCCGCTGCTATGAGGATCTTTGGAGAAGGGAGTGTAGGCTCGGGAATTGTACTAGTATCGTATTGGCGGGTACAGTACTAGTACTCAAATACATACAGTAGCACCGTTCCAACGCTGCCCCCATGAAATAACACCCCCCGTGAATTTGGGATTGAAAGATGAAAAAGAAAGACTTCTAAGGTTGGTATGATACTGTACAGTACTGTGTGAAAAGCGATTGGTTACGATTAGTTTTAGCCAAAATCTTATTCTTGAACCGGGCCATTACGGCACACAAGCGGGATCTTGAGCCTCTAACCAACCAACCATTTTTTATTTTATTTTTTGCCCGCACGCAATAGCAGGTATGACACGACACGCTCACTCACCGTGAAAAAAAAAAAAAACTACAAACAGTCGCACCTAGTCTCACGTCCCGATATCACGTTACTATGATACACCACGGCGATGTTAACGGTAGGACGTCCAGAATTTCCCCCTTTGGATCGGGGGGGCAAGAGAAACACGGCGGAAAAGAAAAAAAAAGGGTTCTCTCGTTCAGCCCCCATGGTTGACAGGGGAAAAGAGAAAACAACAAATTTTACTCCGTAACAAGTTAGAGGCAACTATCGGGATTCTGGATCGTTCCGGTTTTTACAGTACGGTGCATTCCCGCGGTTCCACAAGTATAGTACTTGTACGAGTACAGTACCGCTCGTAACATGGCGGAGGCAGCCTTATTGTATTCGTACCGTACTTGTAGAGGGACTTCGATTACCGTAGGAGGATAAATTGGCTGGGCTCCGGTGTTACCACCCAGAATCTAGAGAAGTACAAGCGCTGGTACTCGTATAATACTCGAATACGGTACCCGTACTGCACTTGTAACCTGCCTAATCCCACAAGAATCTCCATACGACACTACTTGTAAATGTACCGTTCTAAAATACACAGTATTGAAGAGCGCTCCGGACGATCAAACCAGCCGAGGTAAAATTAAAAATTAAAAAAAAGCGGTTTCCACGTTTTTTCTATTCTATTCTCCGCGATTCCCTAGAAACTAGTTTTTCTTCAAGTCAATCAATCGTTCACAGAGCTAAGCGGGGACTCTTGGCGAATGAATGTAGGCTCGAACAATGCAACACAGAGCCCCTTAAACACCGTTTCCCGCACTGCTGTGCAAAGATCGAGCTCAGCACGCTTCGTTATTCGCGCCATGCCGGCCGGGTATGACACGGTATTGTGATTGAAAATGATATCGGCGTTTATTACCGTGTAACAGCCCAGTTCTCACAACCCCTGAGGCCCGAACTGCACTTTCTCCTCTCGAATGTTCCACACTTTGCGGTATTCGAGCTCGGTTTGGTATTGCAAATCACAAAATGGACTTTCAATCTTTCCCCCCTTTTCTCTCTTTTATATGCATCACTCAAGAAAGAAGCTCAATTGTATCGGATAAATAAATAGTTGCCTATTATGAGGCCGAGGATACCGGTATATTCTTTGCTCGGGCTATGCTGACAAGGTTGCCAAAATGACAGACTGACTAGAGTCCACCTACAAAATAATAAATACAATTGAATCGAATAATGCCCTTTCCCGGACTCCCTCTCACTCCTCCTCTCTAAAAAAAATTCATTGGGATAATCATGTCTGCGCAAGATGGACTGCCTGGGTGCATAGAGCTTCGGTGTTGCTCCCCCAATCCTAATCCCACTTACTCGATTTACTCCACCTAGACCCGCCCCTGCACTCGTGTCTCCTCCCAGAGCATGACGCAGACGAAGGGGCAGCAGATTCGAGTGGGGGTTCCCCGGTTCCTTGGCTTGCAGTAGTCGTCAAGGTGGAGAATGTTGTTGGCTGATTGGCCCCTGTGGGAATAGCTGTGACGCTCGGCTTGGTAGTAGGGGTGGGAGTAGGCACAGGCTCTCCGTCGCCTCCATTCCCAGTTGGCTGAGCCGAGGCGGTGGTGGACTTGACAGGCGTGGCGGGCGAAGATACGGCCGGGCCTGGTGAGCTGCCGGCGTTATCGGTAAGAGGCTTGGGGCCCGGGATAGGGTAGTTGCTATAGGTCTCGGAGTTCCAGATGTCGAAGACCATGCCAGGGCTGGACTTCGTAAGGTACCCGGGAATGCTGACTTTCTCCACGTCGGGGTTCCCAGATGTTCCCTCGACAGTGACTTGCACACAACTAATTCAAGGCGATTAGCCTTAGCTATGGTCACGAGATCAGAAGTGGGAAGCCTACCTAACATAAAACTGCTGCTCCTCCGCCCCCCCCATGTTTGCCGGCCCAGCATTGTTCAGGGTCAGAATCTCGGCCCTGTAAAGGTAATCTCCGGGTGGGATGTTCTTCGGGACAACTCCGGGTTGAGGGGCGTTTGCCTTTCGCAGTCTGTCAGTGCAGAAGGTACCGGCCGAGTCGAGACCGTCTTCAGTGACTTTGAACCATCCATCACCAGGCGCAGAGGCAGTGAGAGCGTCATCGACTTTCTTCATGTAGATTGTACACGGGCCCTTGTGCGAGTCGTCCGTTACACCAACAGGAATAGTGCCCCCCTTGAGAGGATATTCGGCCGGCGGGATCCCAGGATCGCTACGCCACTCGAAAGCAATTGAATCACCGCCTGCAGCAACCCGTCAGTTCCTCACCCTCGACCACTATCGGAGACGATTTGGACTCACCCTTAACTACACATTTAGTCTTTCCGTTGCCCTGGACAGTGTTGCAAGCCATGTCGCTGCTGCCCACGTCGGTGATAGGGTTGACTGTAGTTCCTTGACGAACACAGTCGCTGTTGGGAACACCGTTGATATGGAAATGGGTGACCCTATTATGGGCGGACGCAAGGCCAATCATGGCAAATGCAGCAATAATTGACTTCATCGTGGTTGATGTTGTGAAAGAGTGTGGTCTTGTTCTTTGCAGGTGGCCCAAAGGTGTGGAAGGCTGTGAGAATTTTTCAGAAACGAATGGAACTCTTCAAGAGCTGTCTTTCAAAGAACGAGGTAAAGAAGCGAAAGTGGGATTGAAGGTGGGAGTGAAGTTGCGCTAGGCCCCCTGGGTGAAGAAGAGAAAATACAATTGGGGGGAACGTAAAGACTTATATGCGGTCTGGGTCGGGCCCCCCTTCTCCCCTCCATGTGGATTTCTCGTGATCCTTTTTGATGGGGTGGTCGAATTATTCCCCCCCCCCCCCGCCAACCCCCGTACGGCTAGCCCCGCGCCATAGCAGTTTCCCATCCGATTTGATAAAAAAAATGACGACAGGCACAATCCCTGATCCAACCCCTGAACAGTACTAGTACAGGTACCTTGCAGAAGCGCGGGACACTAGCGTGGACCAAGTACGGATTGGTCAGGACCCGACAAACGGTTCCTCAACCAGTCAATTCGGTCCAGGACAACAACGTCTGGTGCGGCGATGGGGTGCCCGTAACCTTTACTCGTAGCCCCTGGAACATCCGCTCAGAGTGGGTTCCCGTCACCAAGTCTCATCCTTCGTGCGAAAAGCGGAGGAGAAAAAAAATACTGCAGGGTCCTGGGTCGTGGATAACTACCGAATAGCCTTGCGCATTCAAATGCTCGTAAAGTGCTATGATCCGTCGATTACTTTGTATACTCGAGTACCGTAGGCGTCCCGTCCCTTAGGAACTTTGTGGTTCTCCCGCATCATTTTAGGCCTCTTTGGGGGTTTTGTGCAACGGAAAATTTTCAAGACACGTCGCCCCGTGAGATCCTTTTACCTGTGAAGGATAGGGAGTCGACGGTTCCCCTCCTCCTTGCAAATTTCCACCCTGCTGCTGAGTAGAGAATGGGTCCTTTTGGGCCAAAGCGATAAACCACGCTTGTACTCGTACTTGTATGCACAGCAAATTTTGTTTTCACGAGGACTGATGCAGGAACAAGAATCCCAGCTATCGGTACTCGAATAAACGAGATTGTGGTGCAAGGAGTTCAGCCCAATGCATTTCAGGGCACCAGTAGAAAGCTCTCTCATACGCCCATCACGTACAGAATGCTCGCATAGCGACCATCCACAGCACAATACGGTACCGGTACATTACCCGTACTAGCATTCGAGAATTCGAGTGCCGGATACCACCTTCTCTCGTTGAATTTCAACTAGAAAAGCTCAGCTTGTTTCAGCGGCTGAGAGGGCGGGATACGATCCGGAGAATCGCCCCAAGGACACACAACCCCTGCTACACACACTGCGCTGGAGCGCTACGATAACTGGCAGGGTGCCACGAATCCCACGATGGTACCGGTACCCACAGATGCGATAACGGAGCATTTTCTATCGCAGGAAGTGTCCGAGCACGGCAGTGGAACAAAGGATTTCGAGAAGAAAAGAAAACAGGGAGGGTCCTAAAGTGAACTCGAGAGTTGGTCCATTTCCGAGGTTACGGTCGGAGGATATCCCTGCCAAGGAAGATTGGGAACAGTTATTAACCGGATCCGTGGTGTTTGCTCGCTCCTTTGCGATCAGATCTTAACCCCCTGAGCGCCATCGAAGGGAGGGAATGTGGCGCGACGTTATCTGTAATCACCGTTCCAAGCACTACTCGCACAATAGTTCTCGGAACAATCAAATCTCGCTATCCCGGGGTTCGATAATACGGATACCTCGCTGTCCCGTCTGAGATCCGCGAATTCAAAAAAATTCCACTCCAAAACTCGACCCGTTCTCCCGGATCACTCGTTGTCCCGAACAGCTTTCCTCGGATTTTAGCCGTCCGGGACAGGGAGGTGTTAATGTATCCATCTTGAAACTTGGGAGCGGGGGATCCGAGTGGAAGGTAAATGAAAAATCCCTATCGTTAGGGCACTCCGACCCGCTGTTACTCGAGCAAATCACCCTTGTTAATGAAAAGGGAGGTGGCTCAAAAACTCTTCCTTGGTGATCAAGACAGCGTTATTTACTAAACAGCCAATGAAAGCCCGAACTGAAAGGAGTTAATAACTGCCAAGTTATCTGTCGAGACACCCCCCCTTTTAGGTATCATAATGAGCTCTAGACCAAGGCTGAAAACTTTTATCTTCCAAATGGCAGGGGCCAAACTCCTCCAATTAGGTAAAATGATACCGGTAGCCCATCACCGCTTTCGGCTTTTGTGCCCGAGCACAACACAAGCTGTCTGCGACACCCTTTTCATTGTCTGGAAGCAGAAATTCGAAAGGTACGGTACTTCGTAACGGGCAATGAATTACCCGACAACAGGGATTCGCAAAACACCTGTACTAGTACTTGTACAAGTCTGGTCACACCTGGTCACACCTCGCTACCACGGATCTCCGTACTCTCAGCACAGCACGAGTACCAGTACTAGTACAGTACTGTACTAGTACTGTAACCCTGACCTCCCTTTTCCCTATCGAACCTCCGTGAGGAGGATGTACCGTATACGAGTACACACTGTATGCCTCCCTACCGGTACTTGTACTCGTACACACCGGCAGCAGACTCCGACCCTACTCTACTTACCGGATGCGAGTCCCAAATTTCCCGACACCGAAACCCGATCTCCTCGCCCCGGATCACCCGGTTAACCGGAGAGATCTTTGGACTTTTGGCCCTCTAGGGTACCGGTAGATAGGTACTCGTACTGTAGCCTGGTGCGACTGCGCCCTACCGGTATATACCCGTACCGGTACTACCGTACTATAGTACTTGTACTTGTACTCGAGTATATGGCGGGAATTCTGCGGCATCTGACAGATTCATGATCCCTGCGTTCGGATGCCTCTCTCCTGCCACGAATGCAGCACCGTGCCTCACCACAATATGTAGGAACTGACCGACTGACTAGCAGCCAGGGCTTGGAGATTTCGAGTGTGGATCTTCCCTCCTGAATATTGGCAGTTGTATGAGTAATAAGGGTTAGCGTTTGGCGACAGAATCGGAAAAAACGTTAGTACGCTCGGTTTGTACTAGAGGACGAGCCCTATCAAAAGGCAGGGCAGTGCTGCATCACACCTGCACAGTATCGCATCACAAAACTAAACAGGCGGCTCAAGCGATGAGTAGAAACTAAGGAAAACAGTTTGTTGTTCAGTCTTTCTTCATCCCCTACGCCCCTTCCAATGCCGAGATTTGCGGATACCATACTCGGAGTCTAGAGATTTGATAGTTGTTAATTTGAGCAGGCGTTGGCTGTTGAGCAGTTGTCGACACCTCATCGCGCAGTGACCACCGCAGTCCCTCCCATCATTCTTCCCCTTCGATGCCCAAATTCATCCACATTCTCCTAAAGAGAAGCGTTGCGAATCACAGCACGGCAAAGGTCGGATACAGTTCAGCACGCAACTGCCGTATCACGCCAAAACAATCCTTGAAGAACAACCAACCGTTCTCAAACCGATTCCGGCACTTGACGAACTGAACAAAGTAATACCATAGTAAACTCAATCTATGGACTCAAAAAAAAAAAAAAACTCCGAGAGGGATCTGCAATTCCCTCAAGCTCGCCGAATATCAATCCTATCAGGGGCCCTATAGCGACCTCCACCGATGAGCCGATACAGTGCATGGCGAATCTCAAACTCTTGCATTCAACGATGGTACCGGTGTTTCCCGTACATCCGCTGAATCCGGTATGATACGGTAGGGCCGCACCGATCACATGCGTTATCAGCGTCGTGCAACACGAGTAGGTAAACAGTAGATAGTCGCATATATACCAGCACTATGGTGATCGCAGCAATGGTCGAGCGAGCAAGCGCCCTAGCTCGTTTATACACTAACCTATAGCACCCGCCATTCTCTGCATTAGCCGTGGGATTCCCATTTGTGACATAAACAAAACACAATAATCGTGTCTCTGCGGTGTTGGACCTCTCCGGATCCGTTCCCGCGCTGTCATTACCACTACTCGGGTATGGACGTAGGATGCCAGACAGCCAGGGATCATAGAGGCATAGCCAATCTGCTCGTACCCTCGCAGTAAATAAAAGAACGAATTCGGCATGAAGCCTTGATACTTTCTAATTCTTAGCTGTCTGGTCACCCACGTTCATACTTGGGTACTAGCATACTCCGTAAGGCACCTACGGACCGAAATGAGCTTAAATCACATGCGGGGGGGGGCTAGGTGAGTACTGCTCTTTATCGGTATGATACTAGTTTCGGCTGTTGGACCGCTGTGATTCACTTTCCCACTTGTGCTTGTGCTTGTGCTAAGGCGTGGATGAGGATATAAGGTTTGCAGGTTGCTGGAATCGGTAGTTTAGTTGAGCTCCCACGTTAGTTATGATACTGCTGTTCAGGGCTTGGCAATGCTAATACTTACTGCTATAGGGCAGAAGGAAGTCTGTAAGTAGGGGTTTGGACGATCTTTTTTATACGGAGGTGACGACAGCAGAATGGGTTCTTTCTTGCCCGGAAGGAATGAGTCATTGCACTACCGGTACTTGTGCGTGGTGTCTTATTCCAGACGTTGGTTAAGAGCCCAGGTCACGAAAGTCCGAATCGAAACATGCACTTTACGGTGCTGTCCCCAACATTTCTCTTGGCCGAAAGCAACGAAGTCATAACATATCAACCTAATCACTTACCAAAAACCTCCGCGGAGCACAATGGACAGTGCGAGTGGCGCGTGGGCCACCAAGAGTTCCGAGCTTTACCCATCGCAAGAGACTCCTTTTCAACCTCCATGTGACACCAGCGATATCATCATAATCCCGGAAGAGCCAAGATTTCGTTACTGTTACTGCGTAGGGGGTAAAATGCCGGTGCCGGTACACTTCCTCTCGGGGGTCTGCGGCCCACAATATGCACTCAGCTCGTGCTTCTCCGCCAACATCCGGGTCCCCCCCGGAAGTGGAGCATTGGCTGAAGATTTTCCGGTGGAGATGGCTAGATTATCAGATCGGTGCAGTTTCAAGTGGTTTTGCCTTGTGAGGGGGTTTTCACCTTCTTGTGATTTATGAATGCACGTGTCTCTCGGGCCCGCCTGCTTTTGTGATTGTTGTCGAACTTGCTTGCATCAGGCTGAGTACTTGCTGGAAATTTGGGGTTAAACTGGTAGTAGGGGGGGGGTATTGCATTGCTATATTTGGCCATTGCCCGATAGCGGAGCTAGATATGCGCCGGGAGACTCGGAATGCAGGATATCATCGTGGGTTCGGGTTATTGACTCGATGAAGGAAAGTAGCTGAGATCCGTTGTGATAGACCTGGTGATGTGGTATACCCCCCAGCTTCTGCTGAAGGATAATTCTGATGACGATATTTAGCACGACGTCAGGAAGGAAATTGGGCACTGTCGCCATCTCATAGGATCTAGGTTGGTGCGGTAATCCACAGCGTGGTCACAAGGACTCGCTCGACTCATGACCAGTACTACTACCCCACAAACCGCCTTGCTGCGCAGATATCTTGCAGAAAGGATGCCTACGCTTTACCTACTCTACCCTCACAAAAGGTGGTAGCATATTTATATCAGGTGAGGGAGTGCGGTTCACCGCTCCAGGCGATACTGCCACGCTCTCCGATCCTCCCGCCCTTCTGGCATAACTCGGAATATAGAGGGGGAGAATTGTGAGTGGGAGATACCGCATGGCTTGGGAAGATATCTGGTGATTTCACAGCTTTGTTAGCTAAATATGTGTGTACACACAACCAGACTTGGGATGCCCTGTATGGCAGTCTGAACCACTGCTGGCCGTCAACGTACATGGAGCCTGACTGGAAACTCAGTTCCAGTGTGGTGGGAAAGATTAGCGTTGGCTCCGAATGATGTAGTATCGGCACCCCCATGTTGTGCGTTTATCGATATATGCTGCCTTGTGGTCTTTAGCTTTCGCGTGAAACCCCGTTGACCAAGGTCGAAATTCTCTCCCGCACCTTTTTCTGCCGTTGATGCTCTAGCTGTCATTAGCTGAACAGGGGGAGTTGTTGTTATAATGATATGCTTGGGACCACTATGTAGGTTTCTGCATGGGGTTTCTCATGAATAGCTCACTTTACCTGATAGTGATTGAGGGTGCGTTCAATACCGCCATTCATTACCTCGCTTCCGGCCCTCTACCGGTAGCCGAGATACTCCGTCGGAAATAGGCTTACGGTACTTCAACACGAGGCCAGGATCTATGGATTTTCGCCACTATTTGCTCCCTCCATTGCGTCCATTTTCACTTGCCCTAACCCCGGAAACAGAATTCCCAAACAGCTTTGCACTTAACACCGGAGCCCTAACCTAATGGTGCAATGTCGTGGTCCAGGGAGACTTGACTTGCCTCTCCTAGGTTTCAAGTTTGATTCTCCCCCAAGAATAATAAATTCCTAGGGGGGAGGGAAGGAAGGAACCGCGCGTCCTCGGAGGGGGCAGGGTGGAGGGAAGGAGGGGAAACTGCGGGATGGTATCGCTCAAAAGCTGGACAGTAAATCCATATCCACCCTCGCCCCTCCATCCCCGCTCTCTTTCCGGACAAGTGGCAACCGTGAAGGACGACGCGTGGAAGCGCGCGAACCTCCCTGTGCAGGGTTGTGGCTTTTTGAAAGATTTTACCCCCTGTCGTGGTGATAGTGCCGAGTGTCCCTGCATTACGCTAAATTTTAGCTACAGTGCGAGACAGTTTGGAGGGTGAGTGTGTAAACATCCGCGAAACAGATGCCGAGCAAAGAAATCAAAGTTTTGAAACACTTTTAGCGGTTGGAGCCTCTTGGCCAGGGCCAGTACCGGTGTGGTGCGAGGAAGGTTTTAGGGGTTTTCTGGTCATGTCTGCTGGGTTTTTGCCCATAGAATTTTCTGTTTGTGATGAGGCTTAGCAGGTCGCTGTTTTTCACCTGGAGGCATGGCCTTGCCTTCCTCAGAGAGAGCGGAGGAATGACACAGCGAGAACCCATCCTGTACAACCAACTCCACCACCTTCATTACTGTTGTTTCCAGGTGTTGGTTTCCCCACTCCTTTCGCTTGCTTTCTCACTGTGTTTTACTGTCAACTTTATCAGCATAATTCTACACTCTTATCTGATTGAATATTACATTGTACGGTCATCACAATTGCACAGGTGTCAGCTCGGTCAATCACACCATCCAAAATCCGGAAGTCAACCAAGACACTTCCACACCGGTAGGCAATTGGGGGGGGGCGGTTTCGTGGTGGCCAGTGAGGATGTTTGATTGCTCCCTCCAAACATTTTTGGACTATTACAGTACCGGTATACTATTACTTATTCTCGACCTGAAGATTGGAGAGGATGCAGTGAATCGCTTGTCACGTACTTGTGTCGGGATGGTAGCTGCTCCCGGGCAAAGAAAATGCGCTGCAGGGGTCCCGCTGTTTTTCTTTGTTCGCTCGGTTTTCTTGGGTTGGCGGCCTCGTTGTGATATCTCGCTTAACACATAAGTCCACGGCATACCGGTATGCGGAGTGCTGCTATCGGGTAAACTACCTCATTGGTGGTGCTGTACGAGTACAGTACAAGTACAGTACCACCTCTTCTACTGGTACTGTAGAAAATACTAGTAGGGCGTTTCCCAAAGAAGAATTTTCAAGCTACCGCCAGAACAACGAATCACGAGCTAGGGCTCAAATCCCGCCTATGGTACCTGTAAGGGACGGCTAGGGATGGGGATTCTGTGGGTTAAGCCGAGGGGTACAAGCACTCGAGTACTAGTACACGTACCACGAGCAGCACCCGTACTAGTAGTACAGTACCATACCGGTAAAAGCACCGACCTTTTCTGGCGGCAAACAATGTGAACCGGTCCTAACCCAAACTATAATAGACAAGGATCAGAGCGAGTTTTTGGCATGTTGGCGAGATCACACTTTTCGGATTCTCCACCTCGTCACAGCACAGGTAGGCAAGGTTATCATAACGATACCGATCATGGATGGCTAGCTGCAAAATCCCTACAGTACCAAGTTACCACTATCGCTGTCCGCTAAAGATTCTGCAGGTGGTAGACGGAAACGGAACTTGCCATTGCCGCACGGGGTAGGGTGTGCTTACACCTGCAAAACTCCGGTAGAATTTTCAGTGATACTTGAGAGCCAGTACAGCACTTTAACCCCTATGACGGGTTGCAGGTTGGTAAACCAAATATTGGCGGTGAAGCAGGAGTAGGAACGAGAGAGAGAGAGAGTAACTTACATCACTGGTTGGATGTTTGTCGTTAGTGGTGGGGTTTGGGGATTGCTTCTTGTTGGTTACGACATCATCCCTGAGTTTATAACTAGCCACTCTAGCTTTTACCATAGAGTAGTAATTCGTTTTTTCGGCATGTGTAGGAATTTATTGAGGGAGGGAGACAAGGAAAGTTCGCCAGCAGCTTTAGACTGCGGGGTAAGTTGGAGTGCCCTGATGTAGGTTCTCAGAGGCCACGCCAGAGGTTCGCGTCCTTTCCTCCAGTTATTGTCGTTCCTGGGGTGATATAGCGAAGGACGAAATCTGATTAGATAAGTTGGGTGGCCTTACTGAGGGGGCGAAAATTAGCGCGTGGTAATGTCGGGAGAATGCTTTTTACAACGCCCACCGCCAATAGGCCGGGGAGATCATTGTGAGCAAGAGGATAATGTGAAATATAAAAACCAAAGGAAAAGGGGGGGGAGGTGTAGGTGGAGTTTGTATATTGCCACTACCGGTAGAAGAGATGTTGAAGAAATCTGTCTTATTTTTCCCGATACAAGCGTGCCAAGACAACTGGGCTAGTGGCTCGGGACCAGGGCCAGCTCTAGTACAGGACCAAGAACAGAGCAATTGACATAAGGTTGTACTGGAAGGAATGCTCCGTGGCTTCAGCGATCAGGGAGTGGGATACCAATAGGGACAGGTGTTGCTCTTTTTTCTCTTGTGCCCAATACGCGGGGGGGGGGGGGGGTTGCTCTAGTTAAGGGTATTGTACTCGAGTGACTGGACTGATTCGGGGGAGTGATAATACCATGTCCTGGTAAAGCTTATGGTCTGTTTGGATAGGACCGTTCCGTTCCTTTCACCCATACAAATTGCCTTACGGTTCCGTTACCGAACAGTCATTTTGTATGGGCGAAGTAATATCTTATATTCGGTATTACCAGGAAGGTCCAACGGAACCGAACAGTCGTGTCCAAACAGACTCTTAGCCATTCCTGCCCCTTTCCTTATCATCACAGATATTCACTCGATTAAACCCCTCAAGTTTATTAGTATTGTCTTGGCGCAATTTATTTCGGATCGCCACAGTCAGACACGGCAGTTCATCTTGTGGTTCCCTGGCGTCCTTAGCCCCGGCGTGTTTGCGTTTCGTGCTTCAACCGTGCCCTTTCCTTCCCCCCCCCCAATCCCACTCTACCTCCCTTCTTCTCTCCATCAACTGAGCAACTTCTCCCCTCGCAAGAAGAGACAAGATTCAATCGATCGATCTCCCAAAGATGATCTCACTTAGAGGTAAAAATGTTCTCATAACCGGCGGCTCGAGGGGGCTTGGCACTGCCACAGCCCACGCATTCGCAAGGGAGGGTGCAAACGTCTTGGTAAACTACATTAACGATGAGGCTAGCGCTGCAAATGTGGCGACACAGCTATCGGACCAGCACGGGGTCAAGGCGGACACCGTACAGGGCGACGTTGGCGCCGAAGAGAACTGCGTGAGGATCGTGAATAAGTGTATTGCGCTTTTCGGGGGTGTGGACGTTATTGTTTCTAACGCTGTTTGTTAAACGATATTGCCTTGAAGGTTTGAGGTGAGTGAGTGCTAATTGGTGGTGCCTCCAGGGCTGGACGAGGATCAGTGATTTCGGAGATTTGTTTGCGTTGAGCGAGGCAGATTGGGATAAAGTTGCCATTCCCGTCCCACCGTTTTTGGCTCTCGAAGGGCTTTCTAACAGGGAACACTAGTGCTGGGCAGTAAACGTAAAAGCAAACCTCAACCTCCTTCGTGCCGCCTCAGGATATTTCAATGCAAACCCTGACGGAGGCTCGTTCCTGATCTCATCTTCCGTTGCCGCAACCATCCCCTCCGGTAGCTCAATGGCGTACTCGGTTACTAAAGCTGCTGGTTTGCACCTTATGCGGTGCCTTGCCCAGACTCAGGGGCCGAAAATTAGAGTTAATGCGGTGCTTCCGGGCTTGTTGTTGACGGATTGGGGGAATAGGTTCGGGAAGGAGAGGGTCGAGAAAACAAGGGAGCAGGCTGCTCTGAAAGACTTTGTGTGACTTTCTTTCCTTTTTTCTTTTTTTTCTAAAGGGAAGATGACTGACGAAGACCGCCGAATCTCTGCTGGTAGCCCACGGTGGAGGAATGTGCGGACGCATTTGTGCTTATGGCTAAGAGTAGGACTATGACGGGGGCTAGCTTGAAGATTGGTAAGTAACGCGTATGATGCATGAGGGAGGAATAGAACTTAACTCTTCGGGATAGATGCGGGGCTTGTGCCTTAGGATCCGCAGGAAGGGATATAGGAGCGGCATAAATAAAGCCCGCAAATTAAGGTTTTTTTTGAGTGATTCCTTGTGGTTGCTCCCTTGAGGGTTTCCCGAGGAACTATGTATTGCTCATACCAGTAGTTCAAACACTTCAACGCCTAGGATGGAATCGGGCACTATGCTTGCTCCATTCTGCATGCTTGGGGGCTTCTCATGGGCCGTTCTAAGTCATCTTTACGTTGAATATGAGTAATTCAGTGTGGGGAGACCCCCCCCCTGGGGGCTGCCTTTTCGTAGCTTGGCTATAGACTGACCCTGGGCGGCCATCAATATCAGAATGACTGGGTTGAGAAAGCAGTGGATGGTGTAGTGCTGGTATGAAGCTAGAGGAACCCCAACCACTATACAGAAATCCCCCGAAGGTTCGCGCAACGGCTATCAATCATCAATCCTGATGGTTCGTTACAACCCAGATGCCCAGATTGAGCCTAGTTTCCCGTCACCAGGGAGAGGAAAGCAAAATCAGTAGTCTACTGTAAGTACTCGAATATAAGAGAAATGTGCAAGGACGTTATAGTTATCTCCAGTACCATAGTAATGCGCTGTGCCTCGGTGTGTTTTTCCCCCCCGTCTTAGCTAGTAGCCGAATTTGCGATGATTTCCCTATATCTATCCCGGAAGGGAATTTCAAGCGCAGAGCGCGTTTCTCTTGTATTCTAGATTTATGGTAGTGGCATACCGGTGTGTTGATAGATATCGGAAGAGATATAATAGTCCTATTTCCTGGCACTCTGAATTTGCAAACATCTGTGGCGGCACGTGACAGGAAACTCCGACGGTTCTAGTGCCCGTGGTCTTCAGCCATCACTCGCTTCTAATCATTCCAAAATTGAATGTGTGACAATTGATTCAATTCCGTAGAGACCCTTCTCCCGCCCGTCTGGCATTTCAAGTGTCTCGCTTTATTTATTTCACTTCTTCAGGAGGTGACCTACCCATCTCAGTAACCAACCCAACCATGCGCTTTTCGTGCGGTACTGGCAGTATTCTATCGGGCCGGCCTCCTGGTTTTCGCCATCGCGGATCTAGCAGCGAAGATACTCCAAACTTGGATTTTTGCGGAGGCAGGCTAATCGAACCATAATAATATCTCACATTTATAGCCTAGCTCCACTATAGTAACCTCCATTTAGAATGCTTGAATACCCTACGATATATAACACTCTGACTCTGTTTGGCGTGCAGACCCATCGGGTCAGTCGGGTTAACCCGGGCCGAGGCTCACAAGATTGGGTAGGGTTACGGTCGAAATTTCGTCAGCCTCGAGTCAGGTGGGGTCTGCTCATTTTCAACTACGGTTAACCCATTGGGATGCTGGTCTCGTGGTGTCTCACGGACATATAGGGAGGAAAAAGGAAAGAAAAGAGAGAAAAACAGAAATCAGGTTCAAGTCCCCGTCATAGGGAGGCAATCGGGGGAAAGAAAGAGAAACGAAAGGAAACTGTGGTGACCAAATCCTCCGAGGAATGATAATGTTCAAGCTCTCGCATACAGATATCAACAGGTTTCCGCATGATCGAGCATGATTGCCTCGATTTCGCCGAACTTTCTGGAATGTGCACTTTGGCCTTATTCATTCGCGGCTAAAGAGGGGACGACCCCCGAACTGGACGGGACTACTTCCCCGGAACCTGCAAATACTGCACTACGTCCGGGAGGTGCATAAGCTAACTCCGATCAGCCCATGTACTGCGATCGAACAAATAATATAAAAAACGGTCTGAGTACCTCCTCGAGACCCAGCCACGAGAGTAGAAATCTATGAACGGTCCAGATGTGATGCTATGTTGGATGAGCCCCATTCCCCAGGCCCGGTAAAAGATGTTGGATCAGGGCAGCGCACACTCCTCATTCCCCGACCCCGCAAGATGCTAGTAGTAGGGTAGAACCGGCCCGGGGGCCCGTATCTACCATCCGACCAACTGGTGTTCCCAACCGTCCCGGGGCTCCACGGGGGCCTACCGGGGACCTCCAAGAGCCTCGGACCGGACCGAGCGGCTGGTCGGAGTCTTTCCAAGGTCTTAATTTTCCAGGACTGCCCTCTTTAGATGGGACCGCGGGCCCTAAGTTATAGGGTAAGACACATGCAGTGGGGTGGTGGTGGTGAGCTATGGAGGATGGCTAAGGACTATTGGGACTATGGAGGACTATGTGGGGACGATACGGGAATACGAGGGAGGACCTACCCGCGCCACGCACGACGTCAGCCTTTCAGTTCCGGATCACTCGGGCTTGTGGCCATGTGTTCTTGGCCTAGGTAAAGCGAACATCTATCGCTATTATTACAAACACGGTACCTCCACGAAGAATATAGTCGAGGTGCATATGCCCGTACTCAGCGATAATAAATTCCCTTGAAAAGGGCCCACAACAAATGGAGGGGGGCCTATTGGAACGACAAAAGTGGAAACTGCTTTCAAGTGTAAACTCGGATAACATAAATGTTGGAATTAAAGCGCGAAATATTTCATAACTTACTCCTACTCCCGATAACTCAAAATAATAATATAATATAGCTTTCGTGGTGTTGAATGGCTAGGTTTTCGTGTTCCTCCTGCTTCTCCATCATAATTGTCGGATGAATTCTCCTGTTAAGTCTAATGCCTTTCCTTCTGCGAGGGTCGTGATACTGGGTTGATTTTTTTTTCTTCCAATTTGTGACCTGATGATATTGATTTTTATATTCGTTTATTTGATATTTTTAGGGGGTGAAGTTTTTCTAGTTAAATGGGGGGTTTTTAGGCCATATGATACCTTCAGATGTATGCCATGGATTTTCCCGGATTTTTGGTGCATTTTATTTGCAAATGTGTCCGAGGACTTGACAAAAAAAAAGAATACGGTATCATAGGGAAGTTTTCACGTCGTGTTGGGATATCTCGCAGCTTGCGTGGGTTTTTCCCGGGGTGTGATTAAACCACCGGTAGCACTAGTACGAACCCAGATTACCAGATTAATCGCTTAACATAAAATGCAACTTGCACCGTACAGTACTGGAATTTCTAGAACACTTCGGGGATCGGGGGTACTGTACGTACTGCCCTTCGCTGGGCCTTGCAATGATACCGGAAGGGACCGCACTTTATTCGGCCGTTTAAAGGAACTGATGCTAAAGCCCGTTCAACACTTGGTCTTCGGGCTTCTCCAAATTTCTGGGAATTTCCTGGGATCATTGCGCACCCGGCGGACCGGCATAATACACTCAAAAATGCAGTCCTTGGGAGTTCAAATTTTGGGTGTTTTCGGGTGGGGGGGTTACCGGTATTGTAGTCCTCCCGAGTGACGCCTGTTGCAACTTTAAAAGCGCTTGACCCGAGAAAGCAAACAAAAGCCGTCGTGTCTTGACGTACCATGCCTCAGGCTATATTTTAAATTTATCTAGAGATCTCCGGATTTATTTTTTTCCCCTGGTTTCCTTGACCAGCCATTTGTTTACGGGATCTACTCATGGGTGGCGTCCCTCATTTTTATTGCCGATGTACCGCTGGTATGATATCGTATCATAGTTCAAAGCCTTAGCTGGGGTGGGCGGGGACGGTTGGGTTACCCTGCTGTAATTCCGCAAGGACGCATGCCGGACCGGCGGTGCTTCCCGAGTTGTCTAAGAAAGATTTGGTTGAAATCAGTGATAAAGGAATTACCGGTACTTGTATCTGTGGAAGGGCGCCACGGTTAAACTTGTTACGCGGTTCGCAGACTTACTCATTTCTCGGTGAGGAGAGAGTATTACGAAGAGCTCTCATCGCAGAGAGGCAGTCTCGCACTTCCTATCCAGTCAAGTTTCCCGAAAAGCGACAAGTTTGACAGCGTCACCCGTCCAAGGGATAGCGTTCTGAAGCCGAGGGTCACGAGGATACTCATACCGTATCATAGCTTTTCATGTGCCTCCCCGAAGGCCGTGCCAACCGAATCGGGATCCATAGCGCCACAAACTAATGCCTCCTGGTAAATCTTCCCCTTAATCGTTCAGGTAATGCCCCCCGTTTTGTAGGGTATCGGTAGTGTAGTCCATGTGTGGATTAGCGTTCCCTTCGGGGGTGTCTTGGCGAAGGGAAGAGAAACGGAAACACCCAGAACGCGCAAAGCATAGAGAGAAGAAAAAAACACCGGTGCTTAGAAGCTGGTAACACTCAATGGAAGCTAATAGTAGAGAAGGGAAGGATACCCACAAATACGGACCAGGAGTAGAGATCAAGGCATTTTTCTCCCTTTTTTTCTGTCCCCAAAATTCGTATGTTCGCACCGTGCGTAAAAACTTCTTTGAGCATATGGTAGATCCCCCCCTAGTATAGTAGGTGCGCACTGCATGTGTGCACAAGGCAGCAGGGGAAGGCACAGCGAGTGACATCGCGTGATTATCGGCGAACCCTGCTGTGTTACACAAGCAACGCACATATGAACACGATTTATACGGGTATGCCACCTGACCTCGTCCCTCGACCATCTTCCTTCCACAGAACTTCCAGGGGCAAAGAAACGAAGGACAGGAGAGGTAAAAGGAAAAGGAAAAAAAGAACAAGGGATCGGGAAAAAGAATAACCTGTTACCGCTCGCTGTGCTACGGTACCCTTGCCGCCACCGAATAAATAGAGCTGTCCACCCGGCGGGGCAAAAGGTTCAAAAAAAATTTAGATTCGAACCACCAAACGCGCTAGTGCACTTTTTGGGCTTTATATGGGGAGAGAGAGTGTAGGGCAGCCGTGACGTTGGGGTAGACTATTCCGGTAAGCTGTCTCATTTGTTGGGGGCGGGTAGAGTCGAGCAACTCCTTTTACTTGGGATCTTAATTTGATACTTATCTTCCTTTTCGTCTCCGCTGTGCAACACCGTTGGTGAAGCATAAGGTTTGGGTGCTTACAGGAATCTCGCGTTATTACCTACGCCTTCATATTTGTGGTCGAAGCTGTCTGTGGTGTGTGGTCTGGATTGTAGTGGGTTCTCTTCTCCTGAGGTGGCCCCCCTCACCCCCCGGGCTTTGCAGCTTCACGGCCGGTCTAGAGATTGCGATATCGGGAGTGCTGACGACCTGCAGGTTTATCAAAGTAGGTGCGTTTTAGAATCCCATACGTTATTCGCGCGTCCTGTTTTCCTTTCATCCGGTGTTGTAAGTCGTTGATTAGAGCCTGACCTGTCATGTCATCCCATGGTGCATATGAAAAAAGCTCAACCGGGTTTTTTATACCGGATGCTTCAGTGAGTCCGGAATGGTATCTGCAGTACCGTAATGTGTTAACAGGCTTAATTCCACCCCAAACTGACTAGATATGTCAGCGGCTAAGTTACCCGGAACTAGGCATAGCCGGACCTGTGGCCACGACAGAAGCAACTATCCAGGTACCATAAACATCTGTGCTCCCACTTTCAGATCCACCAGGACCCGCATTTTTTTTTTAAGAAAATAATTGTGCGATAATAGGGCTACTTCTACATTCTGGGGATCTCATTTTGGTGATCATATAGCTAATTGGAAATTGTGGTCAAGCATCGGAAATAGGAGGTGGTACCTTTTCGCGAGCCGGATAAATGGTTTATACTGTTCAAGTGCCGCTGCTGGCCGGGTCTCGGACTTGTATCGAGTCTGCCTGCCTTGTTCCCTACCTAACATGTGAGTACTTTCCCGGGCTGGCTTAAATGGGGAACAACCTTCTGCGCGTTGAGGTAGTGGGTTTCCGCTCGGAGAGGAATGAGGTGCCATGAGCCCCCGGCGAAACCATTCTTGTCTTCTCCGTTGTTGGAGGGGGACGGAGATGCGCGGGGTTAGGCGAGGGAGATGGGCAGGAGGGTTTTATAAAAGGAGATATTATGGAATGTGCAGACGGAGCGGGAACCAGGCTTCTGAGTTGAGAGGTTGGGAGGTTGCTGGGATGGTTGTCGCCAAGATGTTTGCTCTACAACTTCTGATGTTTCGCTTTTGGTAGTGGCTACTCATCTGGCGGGGCGTGCGACACGGGTTTGCCTTAGTTCATGGACGTTTACGGATAACCTTCTCTCCGGCTCGATTATGGTATGGGATCCCGATATCAATTGTTTTCGATGGGGTTTGGTGGGTGCTCACGGTTTTCTGCAGATACAAAATGTCGCATTCCAGAAAGTTATAACAGTTTTCTATGCTGTCGGAAGTACCTGGAGCGAGGGCCAAAAGATTTCCGCCGTCTGGTCTGCTCAAGATACGGGCGGGTATGAGACATGGGCTTTCTCGGGAGAAGCCGCTGGTGCGACGCAGTTTCACATCAGGTATGATGTCGGTGGCATATGGTAGGTTTTTAAAAATCGTCGATTTGGTCAGCGGGGCGATTGGGTAGACCTTTTGAGCCCTCAGCGAGGCAACACCTTCAGCGGGGCTTGGCGATATTTGGCAGCGAAGGCTGCCTCTGGTCAAGGACAGTAGAAAGCCAAGCCGTGCCGCACCTCGCTGAAGGTGTCGTCTTGCTGGGGGTGCCGCTTCGCTGAGGGCTCGCGTTCTACTAACACCAGACCGAATACTGCAGCTACTACGACCCGGGAAATAACGCTAATTACCAGGTTCCTCCTACTACTACTACTGACGCAGCAACCTCAACTACTAGTACTATGGCCTCTACTTTGGTTGGATCTAGTACCATAACTACGCCCACTCTCACTACTGCTGCGCCTCTTGTAAGCCCAAGCGCCCCTCCGGAAATTATCCCGTCCAATATCCCATCAGAGCCAATCCCTACTGTCCCCTCTGGGTGCGGAAATTGGAATGGACTGGACAACTGCCCTCGCGGTGTTTACACATTCCCTGTCTCTGCCGAGAGGCGGCGTTGGCAGACTCCCCCGGAGGGCGGGGATGGTTATGTTAGAACGTTCCAAGATTACCGCAGTCTCGTCGGGTATCCCGATATCCAATATAGCCCAGACAGAACCCGAGCTGTCGTTGTTGTCAATGCTGCTAGCCGTACGGGCGAGAGTTTAACCTATTCCTTCAACGGTGCTACTCAGTCGGGCAATACCTTCCAAGTTGATTCTGGACTTGCCGGGAAATTGGCTATAACAGTGACTGGATCAGATGGTAGCACCCTGGTTCTCGAGCCTCTCAATTTCATCTGGCAAAATGCTCCGTTAATAGCTGCACAGAGCCGCTTCTCGGGTGGGCAAAAGGGTGGTATCGTCGAGCTGTTTGGGTGGCCATATGACGATATTGCGAAGGAGTGCGCTTTCCTTGGGAAGGCTGGATGGATGGGCGTAAAGATTTGGCCACCAACTGAACACGTTTGGGGATCGCACTACTACGAGGGAGATAACCAGTTTCGACCGTGGTACCTTCTTTATCAACCCGTCAGCTACAGACTTCACTCTCGCATGGGGACGAGGGCTCAGCTGCGAGCTATGATCCAGGCATGCCGCACTGAAGGTGTTCGCGTCTATGCTGACGCTGTTATCAACCACATGGTTGGCCAAGGCAGTGGTAGGTTTCCGTGCCCCCCCGGCAGGAAGTTTCAACTTCTCACTGTTATCAGACATCCAAAACCACAGAACTTCCAGTTGCAGAAACTACTCTGGTCACAATGCCACGGACGGTTCTCCATACTTTACCTCTGGGTATATTTCTATATAACCCTAGGCCATGCCTGAAGCCCCGCTGACCTATTTAGCAACACATACCTTCTGAACCCGTATACTGGCACTCGCCCTACCCTCGAGTTTCCCTCTGTTCCCTATGGCCCAACGGACTTTCACTGCGAAAGAGGGTTGACCTCCTGGACCGACGGGCAAGTTATCACGAAAGGGTGGCTTTTGGGCCTCACTGATCTGAATACCGAGAAGCCCTATGTGCAGGATAGGATAGCGACCTACCTTGCAGACCTTTTATCAATCGGTTTCAGTGGCTTCCGTGTCGACGCAGCAAAACATATTGGCCCCGCATCTCTGGCACAGATTCTTGGCCGCTTAAAGACGAAGATGGGAGGCAACATGCCCGAAGATTGGATCACATGGCTTGAGGTCATCATGGGCGGAGAATCCAACCTATTGGCATGCAGTGGGGGAGAATGGTCGTGGTACACCAATCTCGACAACCAACTTAGGGCCGCCGGCCTTTCCTCCGCAGATATTGCCAAGGTCAAGGTCTGGAGTTCAGATTATCCCAAGGAGATGCCGATATGTGGCAGATGGGTTATTCCGGCATCCCGCTTTGCAATTCAGAACGACGATCACGACCAACAGAGTCCTGTATTTATCCCCCCCCCCGACCTAATACTCTCTCTCTGTCCATGGCTGTGGCTAATATCGCGCAGGGCTCCCCTACCCGTGACATGTCTGACAGAGGCTCCGTCCTCATAAAAGACAAAGATGCCGCCAAGCACCGCCGCTTCGAAGTCAGGCTCTTCTCCCGCACGGACGCCAACTGGCGCATCAAACTCGTCCTCTCCTCGTACTCCTTCATGGGCAACGGCGCCTCCGGATTCCCCGACGGGCTCTCTGACTGCTCCCTATACACGGGCAACCAGCCCATCTCGGCATGTCTTGGTGTGCCTAGGGATACCGCGTATGTTGCTGACGCATGCTCTTACACCATTTCGCCGGGAAAGTACACGCGTGTGCACAGGGATATGCCGATCATTAATGCCATGAGGGCTTGGGTGGGACTCGCGTCCACGACTGCCGCAGTATTGGGGATTTCAGGATGTTAGAGAGAGAGAGAGCGAGAGTCCGTTTCGGGTTTTTGTACGAGTGGTGGTGAAAGTTGGCAGGATGGGGGGAAGTTGGGGAGTTGAGAAGTTTGTTTTGGAAAGTAAATTGGAGGTTGGATTTTAAAACTAGGCATTCCGATAGTGCCTGATAGACTACCCGTCCCGCAAATGCTTTCCGTAGAGTGATTTGTAAATTTTTTTCTTTTTCCCCAGTTGGGGGGTGGGCGGATTGAGCTGGGCTGCTCCATCCCAACCACCCATCCAAAAATCCAGGAAAATCAAAACCCCGGCCAAGTCACATTACCACCCATCTATCGAGCCCGCGATAAGTTAACCACCATCCATCCATCTATAGTACCCCCGCAGCAGCTGCTTCCCCCCCATACCCACAGCAGGAATCAAAATCACAATAAATCACACCCAGAAATTTTGCGAGAACCCGTTCATCCACCTCATCACATTTAGCTGCAAGGCGTTCCCCCCCGACCCCACCACAACCCAGGAAACGACATCCAGCTGACGCACCACCTCCCCCGGCCCGGCGCAATCAATCAATAAATTACCCGCGCTGGAGTACGGGTATCGTAATCCACCAAGCACAGACGTATTATGACAGCACGAACGGTAGTACCGGTGAAAAACACGGTCTGAAGTGATTAGTGCTGGCACAGATCGACTGCGTGTTTATGTTGGTAGTTTGTAGATGAAATTTGTGAAGAATACATATAGTGTGCGGGGGGGGGGGGGGGGTTCTTGCATTTGGTTTGGTTGGGGGTGGTGGGATCAGAAAAGGGTCTAGAGGGTGATATAATATATAATATACCGTAGCGTGCTGGTATTGGTGATACCCTTCCTATCGTTAATCTAAATTACTTGGTTGGCAACGATGGATGGATAACGCACACCATAACCGTACTCCCAAAGAGTTCTTTCCTTTTCAACTGGTGGGATTCACGCTATGTAATGTAGAGACGATTCGGCGTGAGGGTAAAGATGGTATTTAAAAGTGTTGTTCTGTATGTTCGCTGCGCGTCGTGGGAAGTATGATAGCCTATCCTTACACCCCTATTCAACAGGTATTGAATATCCGATATGGGTTTTTTGAGATGGGGCTTAACCTCAGTGACGACGGGGGAGGTGCTCCTCTCTGAGCTATGTGTGGGTAAGTATCATTGACAGAAGTATCATACGAGAATTGTAATTATGATATTTATTGGTTGGTTAGAGTATTAGCTTACCGGTTGTGTATTTATCTGTCATACAGTCCGTGATAGCTAGAATTTTTTTATTTTTTTATCATAAACTTACTAGGGTTGCAGAAATTATTCGTGCTGTTATACAATCTTGGTGATGGGTTTTTGTTGGGGGTTTCTTGCTGGGAGTCTTTGGCTGTCAGGGTGTTAGGTTACTCGTGTTAATCTCGCTCACCAGCTGTGGATGGGATGGCTTTGCTCATCTTGACTTTCGTTGACTATTAATCTATGTACAGTACAATGCCGTGGGGTACCACGCTCAGTTTAAACTACCTGGTTGCAAATGGAAATATCAAGGTCATGCTTCGCTGGTGGGAAAGGAGATGGGAATATTTGCGAGGGAAAAAAGGAGGAAAAAAAGGAGGAAAAAAAAGAAAACAAGAGAAAAAGAGTATATTCCTGTTAGCCCGCCATGACACGCCATCCTCCCGCACATTAATAAGGACAAAGGAACGAGAAAGGATACAAAGAAACCATTCATTTCTACCGCCTCCCGGTGCTCCTCCTCCTCCTCCTCCTCCCTTCGCCGAGCGGAAACCCGCCCCGCCTCTCCTCGTCACTATCTCCGCCCGCTACTGTCGTCGGACTCGTCACCCTAATCTCCGGATTCGGCATGGGCATCTCCTGCGCGGCCCTGTAGTATGGATGGTCCTGATGATACGACGGACGTTCGGGCTTCGGTTGCTTCGGCGGTAACTGCGGCGGTTCCTGCACCTGTATTTCTGGTATCATGGACTGATAGGCCGTCACCTCCCCGGCGGTGGGTGATTGAGTGATGTGCTGATGGTGGTCGGGCATGATTATTCGGAAGGCCGGGTGTGTGTCACGCGGGGAGAGCTGGGGCGAGGAGGAGGCCGTAGAAGAGGTCCAGTCTGCCGCCGCGTGATCGATCTCGGCGCTTAGTTCTGCAATGTCTTGTGGGGGCTTGGGGGGAGGGGGGAGGGGTTTAGGGGTGATTGCTTTGTGGAGATGCTTTGGGTTGAGGGGTTCTGCGGGCATGGTGTTGGACTTATCGATCCTTACGAGCTTGGAAGCACACTCGCGCACTAGGCTATTAGTTTCGCGCTGGCCGAGGTAGCGTCGGGTGCCCGTACTGACTTCCGTCAGGCGGTTCCACTCGTTCAGGGCAAACTCGCCGACGCCGACTTCTACGTTGAAGCGGTAGTAGTCTTCCCTCGGCACACCCATTTTCGCTAGTCCCGGGCGCCCACCGTCCTCGCCGTCGATGAGGATCCTGTGCACGCGCTCGCAGTCGTCCACCTTGGAATAGAGCCGCTTCCGCGCCTCGGTGAAGCCCTCAAAGGGCGTGGATATCAGCCCCTCCCACCAGGGCGCCTTTTGCTGACTGAGAGATACGGTGCTGTGGTTGCTGTGGTGGAGGCGGTGCCGTTCACCGCGGCTGCTTTGGCGGCGGCTTGGTGGTTGGGCGGGCGCTTCATGACGTTTGCCTGTACCGATGGAGACGAACACGGAGATTTCGTCGCCGGGGAATTCGTTATTTCGTGCTTCCTCCAAAGCTTGTACGGCTGGGTTGTATATCCCGCTGCCCTCGTCCAGGAAGGTGTTCTGCTCGATTGTGATCGGTTTGAAAGCAAATTCGATAGCCGATGTCGCTCGACCGGCCTGCCAGATTGTGCAATTATACGATGGGACGCTTTCGGCCCTCGAAGGATAAGTGCGCAGCAATACCGGTGGTGCGGTGGACTCTGGTGATGTGCCTTGGTAAATAGCTGTAACGAACGTCCGGCATCTTCCGGGTCGGTTGTCGGACAGGGGTGCGTCGGGATCGCCCGCTTTCCGAGTCCCGCCTGATTCCCGTCGGCCGCGGGTTTGGTTACGATCGAGTGAGGAGGTGCGGCGACGCATTGGAGAAATCCGATCCGCCCATGAGTCAGACCTTTTATGTGTCATGGCTGGAGGACTCGTTGGGGGCGGGGAATGTGGAATGATTTTATCCGTATCGAACTTGGTGCCTAAGCAGTGCAATTTATCAGTAAACAGACGGTTCTATAAATAGCGCCAAAAGGAATGGACCTACTCTCTCGGACGCAGTGCTTTATAGCTTCTTCTAGACGACTAGACTTGAATAGGGTTTTCCCATAAGGCACTCCTAAAACAGTCTTGTCCGTGATGAAAACATAACGCGTCAACTGCACGTAGTATTCCTTGCAGCTCTCAACATCCATTCTCATCCTCCCCAACATCAGGGCAATCAACCCTCCGGTCCCGGTGCCTCCAATCAAATCGAAATAATCGCACGGTCGGGGGAGATCGGCGGGGGTTCTGGGCCCCTTTCCATTATGAGTCTGGACGTATATCTGGTGCATCAGCTCCTGGAGGATAACAAGTGTAGAATAGCCTCTGATTCCACCGCCATCTGTAGAAGAAAAAAAGAATCCTAATATTAGCCTACGGTAGCGCTTCTGCAAAGGGTCCGGAAGTGCGCACCTAGCGATAAAATCCTCAGCTGCCGCTTCTTTTTTGGCAATCTCTTGGCTCTCTGCTTCTCCTTCCCTCGACTCCGCTCGCCGTGGAACGACTCCCCTGGGGTGCCCTCTGAATCTAACCTTCCCACATCGGAATCGCCCTCGAGTTCGGCGACTTGATGAGTCTCTTTGGTGATGGGGGAGTAAGTGTACTCGCTCGAGTGCGACGGGTCGGGCTTTTTGGGCGGTACCGGTGGTGGCACCATCTGCGACTGTTTACGCGGGCGCGTGTAAGTTCCCGTCGCAGGATTGTAGATCAGGCCACGACTGCCCCTTCGGGCGCTTTCATTCGGAGAACTCATGATCTAGATGCCAGTCGCAGTGTTGTACCGTAGGGGTTGATAGAGTGTACGAGCGGGGTTCCTTCTTCTTCTTCGAGCCTTTGGTGGGGAGGAGGGGGGGGGGAGGGGTAAATAAGTGAGGAGAGCGAGATGGGCAAGGAGGAAATAGAAGGGCAGCTCCAAGACTTTTCGAGTTTATTAGTTGTATGGTAGGGTGGGTAGCAGCACTCGAGTACCGGCACTCAAGTACAGTACCGCTACAGTTCAGTGGAGTGGCGCAGGAGTCCCGCCCTCGAGTAGGTATCCCGGGAACTACGGGTACTGTACGAGTACTCGAGTAGGTCAACCTGTCACTTATCCTGCGGGGAGATGATAATCCCTGTCATATTTAGTGCTCGAGTACTGTACGTATTGTGTGGCTGAGCCGTCTGCTTACATGTACTCGAATACTTCCAGTCGGCCAATTACGTCATGCACGGCGCCACCGGTACGGAGCCGGTCCAATAAAGTTGAATGCAGCATCATCCCCTAAAGGTACCCAACTCGGGAGGGTATCACAGCTCAAGACAACTCCAATCCATTGGCCCGCGAGAATTCGTAGGGGCACCGGTCGAAAACACCCTCATGTGGAAACCACTTGTCCACTGACACCTGCAACACCCTCGCCAAGATTTCGTCTTGAAAGTCGTCGCCAACCAATTATTAGGCGGTACCGTGGTCGAACATGGTCCATCTGAAAACTTCGGACGAGCCTGTCTGCCTCGCTCAGAGTTCCATGTCACCTCCCAGCCCGTAAGTTACCTGGTAAACTGCTGGGTGGAATGTGGTGGGATGTGGGTTGGTCAGCCTTACTTGCACCGGTGCACAGCCCCTCCTTCCTCCGTCGCACAAGTCAACCAACTAAACACGGCGCCGTGCTGCCCTCGCCCCGGATACCTTTTTCCTTATGACAAGCGGATCCCTACAGCGGTGAGCAAGACATCGACCCGGCATGCGCGGTTTGAGCTAAGCTTCCGCACCATTCCCCGGATTTCATGATCGATCGGCCGTTTGGCATGAACGATAGGGTACCGCTATTCTTCAGGGCGTGCTTTAGGGCGCGTTGGTTCGAACAGGGGGGATTGAAGGGCTCCATGCCAATAGATTTGAGGGAGCGTTAGTCACAGTTGTAGAACCTCGATTGGAGCGCCTGGTTTTACGGTAGGCGAATAGGGGGGAGGCAAGTCAAGCTCATGAGGTTTGCGGAGCATTTCTTCCTCAATAATCACTATGAATTCCATTCGTCACAGCACGGACGGCGGACTGCGACAGTTGGTTTTGGTGGGCGGGGGGGCGTAGGTGGATCGCGTCGGAATTCCCCTTTCCCATTCTTGCTCCGGCGCTGAGGAGACTGGAATCTTAGATAACCAATATGCACGGCACTGCGTAGCGCGTTATCTAAACTATCCCTGAAAATCACCGCGTAGCATTGCCTTAATATCAGCAGCAAAAACAGCTATGCATCGCGTGTCCTGTAATTACAGAGACGTGTCACTGGTACAGTAGAAGGTCAGCTTGGATGCATCACAATATTACACTCGCTAAGAGATGAATTGCTGAGCCAAAGATCTGGATCGCACGGGTAGAACTAGTATGTCATACAGCAGTTTGAGAGAATCTCAAGCTTACGTGAGGACGGGGAAAAAGAACAAATATTACCCGCAGGGGCGGATGAACAGGTATGGAAGCTTAAGTTAATCTCCATCACAGCCTTACCCGTTGTGAGTACCGGTGCAGCACGAGTACAGTACTCGAGTACTCGAGTACCGGTACTTGCAGCGCTACAGGTTTTCTTCCGTACGGGAAGTACCGTACCCTGTGCTGCAGCTGAGGGGCAGAGTCATTATTTTTCATTTGTGTTGGTATTGTGCTTTCTTGGCCGCAGTGCGGTCACGTGTACTTGCTGCGCCATAGCTGTACAAGATTACTGTTCCTGCACGAGTGGACAACGGCCCCCCCCGGAAGCATTATCGGGACGTACTTGCAGGGTGCTTTACAAGTACAGCATTCCGGTATATAATACTGTGCTGTGCCCAACTCAAGATCCTAAGAGCTTACCAGATTAAGAATTTTTCAGTATGTTGTTGGGGGGATGTGATATGTGACGGGGCTGGTTGGAAAATTGCGAAAAGACACAGGATAGACTCCGATAGAGTACTTGAGGACATATATTAGAGCGGGGTTGTACGGATTAGGAAGCTGCCTGCCACATCAGCTATATGCCCGGGAATTGAATGAGCATATGATAACGGACTGTAGCCGGTGAGTTACCTGTTATAGTAGTATGGAATTGTGGACTATAATAGAGCAGTTCGTAGCACCTCCGGTGCTTGGAAATGCGGTGGGTTTGAGGTTATAAGTCCCATTGCGTATCGTACGGTATTTAATGGTTCGGTTATCTAGCTACACGTTACTCAAAATGATGTGAAATCTGGTACCATAATGTATCTCTGATATTTCTAATTAGATATTATAATGGTATAAGGACTGTCCATAACTCATAGTACTCTAATAAGTATATTCCTTGAAAAAGTAATCCATGGAAACAATACATTTCTCAGTTACTCAGTATAGACTTTTAAATACAAAAACAGTGATTACCTGGTCTGCTTGAAGAATTAGAAATATTTCTAGTCTATCTGTAACATGGGCTAGAATATTTAATTGTAGTCTAGTATGATCCTAAAAACCTGTTCTGTACTAGTATTCAAGGGAGAACTGCTAGTGCTGGGCCCAATAATTTGCATTCTATAAACCTCAGGTTGTCTTTGTTTACAGCTATTATACCTACTTTCATCCTGCTTTGCAGTTTTCACCATAAGTTTTTTTATACATTTGACCTACTGGATATAAGTAAAACCTTTTTTTTACTAACAGAATTAATATCATATTTGTATGGTAGCATAGGTACAAGTAAACAATCTCCCAAATGTAAAGACTCTTTGAGAGAGAGCAATAGTAGTTGATACCATAGAAGAAATTTTATAATTTTTAAAAGAAATAAAATAGTACCTGGTATAAATAATAGAGAAGTCTCTCTTCTTAAAGATTTTTAAATTCAATATCAGATTCTTGAACTATAGACTAGTAGGGAGTATATGAATACAGGTATCATTCTACTTTAAAAGATAAATAAATTCCTGAAAAATTCAGGAATGTGTTAGATGAGAATTAATAAGAATTTATCAATTATTCTAGTATAGCTCTCTCCGATGTCTTTATATACTTTCATATATATATAATTTATATTAAATATTATTTAGACTCTCTCTGCTAAGCTCTTCTACCATGTGCTGCTGCTATATGCTCCTACCAAGCTTTCCTGCCATGCCACTAAAGCACTCTCTTAAAAAATTAGACAAACAACAAACATACAAACAAGCAAATAAAAGAAATAGAAAAGGGAATGGATTTTGAACAAGAGGTAGAATAGTGGAGGCAACAGTGAATGAACAGAGATCAGAGGCAAAGAGCCAATCAAAGGTAAGCAAGTGATAGACTGTGAAACAAAACAATACCAAGCTCACTCATATGAAAGATTGTACAGCTTAAGAAAAAACTTTTCATCATACTTTTCTCTTTCTCACCTACTCTTACCCCTTGACTATTGCCTATATATCTGCTAACCAATGGTTATGACAGGAGTATATATGAACTACAAGTAACAGTAATAAAAAAAATTCTATTGCCCCTACCCTCTCTCAGGTAAGTTCCCTGAATCTGAGCAAATACAAACTAACTTAGTGAAAGACAAACTTACATCTCTCCTCCCCCTCTCATCCATCAAGGTACATCTCTCTATATCCTAGCAAACAAGAAAAGTGGGAAAAAGAAGACAAACTTGTATTCCTGCTATGTGCCTTTCCCTGACACTCTTCCTGTCATGCTTTTCCACCATGCTGTATCCACCATACTTTTCTGCTACTAGTATGCTTTTCTACTATGCTTTTCCGCTATGCTTTTCCACTGTGTTTTTCTGCTGCACTTTTCTGCTATGCTCTTCTGCACTCTTTCTTAGTGCACTTTTTGAATGAGCAGTGGAATGGCAGTTGCAATGGCTCAGGCAACAGTGAATGAACAGGGGTCTATGGTAATAGACCAACCAGATAACAAGCTGAGTGACAGGCTGTAAAATAAAATACCAATCTTACTGGCATAAAAAAGGATTGCTCAACTCACAGAAAAACTTTTTTTTTTCTCTTCCTTGTACCCCCTGACTATTGTGTACTCTGAACTAACTAATAGAAAACATCAGGAGTATATAGGAACCACAAGTGACACTAACAAACTACAAAGTCTTTCCCTCAAGTATGTTCTCTTCTTTTCTCTTACAAGTAAATACACAAACTAACAAAAAAGAAAAGATAAACTGATATCTCCCTTCGCCGGGTCGGCCTCTATATCTGCTGTACAAACAAGAAAAGCTAGTAAAGAAAAGGATAAACTTGTGCTCCTGCCATGCACACTTCTGCCATGGTCCTCCATACTTCCATGTACTTTTCTACAATACTTCTCTCTTGGCGGGCTCCTGCACTTTTGCCTTTTCACTCTGTACTTTCCAGCACTCTATTCTCTACTCTAGCTCTTCTGTACTGTTCTCCCACTCTCCTGTAGCAGCGCTCTTTCTCCATAGACACCTATGCTCTCTTGCACTCTTCTCCACCATACTCTTCTGAAAACAAACTAGTAAACTATGTGGTAAGAGAAGGGGGGATAAGAGAATGGAGAAATAGAGAGAAAGGGAATGAAGGAAAGGGTGGAAAGGAAGGGTACTGGATAGGTGTGAGGAGTACCTTGGACTTCCAACAGCACTCCCCTGTGCTCTTTCTCTATACACTTTCCTGCACTCTCCTTCTTTACTGCTAAAGCATTTTACTGAAAACAAAAGAAACAAACTACAAGGATGAAGGGTGAGTGGGGGAAAATGGGAGACTGAAGGAATAGGGGATAAAGGGGAAGGGAGGTAGTGGAGGTAGGAAAAGATGCAAGCATGCTAAGCAGCATTTTGGTATTTTCAATGAAGGGGTGGGGAGGAAGGAGGAAAGGC